ACGAAACGAAAAAAAATTTCCAATTGAACATTTTAATTTGACTTGGATTAATTTTTTTGCTTAAAAATGTTTTTTTTTTTTTTTTTTTGTTAATTTGTTTCGTTTTTCTTCTGTTTTTCGTTTGTTTTCGTTTTTTCATTTGTTACGCTTGTAACCGTTATAAACTATAAATATTTTTATTTTTTGCCATTAATAATTCTTCTTTTGGAAGAAGAAGAGGAATTTCGACAAACTTTTCATTTACAATTTGCAATACTGCCCCCCAACCAAAATCAACAAACACAAAAATGAAACCGAACCCACCTGAATTTCAAATTTCAAAAAAAAAAATCATATCCACATCATCATCATCTACGATCCAAATCGATCAATCAATCAATCAAATCAATCAAATATCTGATCGATCGATGAATTTATAAATAGGCCCGCCGAATCATCATCATCATCATCATCGTTTCTCCTGTTTCGACAAAACCCATCGACTTTCTTTCTTTTTTTACAAAAACAAAATAACAAATTTCTATTTATAATAACTTTTTACTTTTACTTTTCATTTTTCTTCGGTACAAAATAAACTAAAATATTTTATTTTATTATTATTTTTTTTACTGTTATAACGTTTTTTTTCGTTGATTTTTTTTTTAATTTATAAGTTTTTTTTTTATAAAAATAATAATAATTTACAAATTACAACCACCCACCCACACTTACACCTGTCTTCTTACGGATAAAACTTGTTTGTTTGTAATTCTATTTTTATCATCATTTTTACAACAACAACCAAAAAAATACAGGAAAACATTTCAAACACACGCACGCAAACACATAATGGTTTTCCGGTCATTTTCATATTTGAAGAAAATTTTTTTTTGTACCAGAAAAAACTTTCAGCCTGCCATTGGGAAAAGGGGAAAAAACTTATGGGAAATAGATAAAACTAACCAGCAAGCAAACAACGAAAATTCCCGATAAACATTTTTTTTACTAATTTTGTTGTTGTTGTTTATGTTGTTTTTTTTCATAAATTTTTATTATAAATTCTCTCTCTTCTCATCCGTTATATATTTTTGTACTTTTACTTTTATTATTTGCTCTCAATAAATTACGGGATAATAATTTCCGTTTTTCGAATGTTAAAAGAATTGCTGATGAATTGGTGATGATAATGGTTATTCAATCATCATCGAATTGATGATCAAAACAACCGAAAGGATATTCATTTCGATTGAATCATTCAACAATGAAACATCGTCAACAACAACAAAATCTTGCAACAACAACAACAACAACAATGTCCAATAACAATAAGGATCATCGACAACAACAAAAAATTTTTCAATTTCTATTTCAACCTTGTCATTCATCTGGTTTAGCTGTAAATCGTATTCTAATTGGCATACTATTATTATTCGATACAATACATGAACGTGGTCTATCACGTGCTGATATTATTTGGTCTGAATCAATGTTAAAACAACGTTGTTTATTTCCATTATTTGAATCATTTTCATTGAATAATTATGATGATAATGTTCGATCAGAATTATTCTTTACCATTTATACCATTATGATTATAAGCTTAATCGGTATCATTTTGGGTTGTTATTATCGTTTATGTTCGATTCTATATTCGATTGCATATTGGTTATTATTTATGCAAGATCGTAGCCGTTGGAATAATCATTCATATTTATTTGGTTTATTAGCCATTCAATTGTCGTTGAATGATTCAAATCGTAAATGGTCATTAGATTCTTATTGGAATCAAAATGATGAAGAATCAGGTGATCATGTTGAACAATGGCAATATTTTTTATTACGTTTTCAAATATTTATTGTTTATTTTTATGCTGGTCTGAAAAAATTTAATCCCGATTGGTTATTTGGTTATTCAATGATTAATATTTCACAACATTGGATTTTTCAATGGACAAGGTTTGTTGTTGTTGTTGTTGAATAACCCTTTGTTTCTTATTAATGATATTTTGGCTTTTTTTGTTTTAACATATAGATTATTATCAATACCTGATCATTGGATCGATTATTATCTAATACATTTAGGTGGTTTTATATTCGATTTATTTGTTGGTTTTTTACTTATTCAACCAACAACCAGATGGTTGGCATTCATTCTTTGTATAATATTTAATGTTATTAATTCACAATTATTTCAAATCGGTATGTTTCCATGGATAATGTTGGCTATAATGCCAATATTTTGTCAACCCGATTGGCCAATGAAAATTATTGATTATTTTACGGTTGTTGTTGTTGTTGTTGATAACAAAGACCAAAACAACGACAACAACAACAATCAAGGCAACAACAACAACAACAACAATCGAATCGAATGTTGTAACAAAAAGGATTTTAAACGTAAACGACAACAACATTATCAATGGAATATTCGTCATATTTGTTTGGCTATCTTTATCGTTATCTACGTTATTATTCAATTGATATTACCATTTGCTTTTCTCGTATTTCGTGGATATAATACATGGACAACCGGTATTTATGGTTATAATTGGGATATGATGGTACATAATTGGAATCATTTACATACGGAAATTAAAATACATTTAATTAATCAAAATGAAACTAGAATTAAATATTTAAATAGTGATTTGTATACACATAATAATCGTTGGACACATCATGCTGATATGGCTAAACAATTTGCTGGTTGTATTGAAAAGAAATTCAAAAATGATCATCATCAGTATGATAGAATTGAATTATATTTGGATGTATGGATATCATTGAATGGTCGTTTTGCACAAAGAATATTTGATCCAAACATAGATTTAATCCGTGCAGAATGGTCACCATTTCGAATGGCCGATTGGATTATACCAATATATCCACAATCAAATTATTGGCGACAACGTTTATCAAATGATTTCGATATATTCGATACGGTTATTAAAGAAAATCAAAAAAATGGTTCATTAACATTATTTTTAGCCGATCGTCCGGGTGAATTATTTCAAACATATATTGATAATTTCAAAGAACCGATACGATTAATCATTTTCGATCGTCAATTATTGATAAGAATTTATCGTTTATCAAACCACGATGATCAAGAAGATTGGATTGATTATGATGAATATCTTCTTTTATCCAATGATCAATTGGAATTATTACCCGGTACAATGATTGAAATGATGACAATTGGCTCGAGTGAAAGTTATTTTGCTTTACTATATCCACAATTATCGATCAATAATGATAATCAACAACAACAACAAATCAATGATCAATCATCATCATATTTGGAATTGATACGCAACCGAAATGCATATATTCAAAGTATAAAACATTTATTTATCGGTTTTAATTATCTAATTTGGAATTGTTTAATTATTAATATTACAAGATTATTATTTGAAATTATTCAAATATTTTATTGTTTTTGTTGAAAAAAATTTTCAATTGTAAAACTATGGTCGGTCCGCATATGGACACCAAACACACACCCACACGGTCGAAATAGCCGGCCAGCCAAAAAAAAGTATAGCCAAAAAATTTTTGTCGACAAATTTGTTTAATGAATTACAAAATTGGAAGTGAAAATGAGAAAAAAGAACATCATTTTTTGTGATGATGATAATTAAAAAAAAGATGATTATGATGAAAAAAAAATTTGTTTGTTTACGCTAAAAAAAATGTTGTTGAAAGAAGAAAGAAATCTGTGTATATAATGATGATGAATATTTTATATGTTAAAAATGTAAAAGGGTAATTTGATTGGTGGAATTTATGTTGTTGTTGTTCATTTCCGTATCTTTCTAGATTTGCGTGACGATTTTTTTTATAAATAGAAAGGAGGGCTATATTTGATCCAACGAACGATGCCGGGTAAATGAATGAATGAATGATTATTACGCTGGTTTTTGTGGTGCATTTCCTTTTTTGCCAATCAAATACTTGTGTATATGTGGAATGACACCTTTGGAGAAAGTAAAAATAAGCAAAAATGAATATAGAAAATTCAAATAGTAAATTTTTATCAATAAAAAAATACATACCACCACCAGCAATGGTTGCTTTAATTAATGAATCCAATTCTTCATCACCACGAATAGCCAATTGTAAATGTCTTGGTGTAATACGTTTTACTTTGAGATCTTTTGATGCATTACCAGCCAATTCCAATACTTCGGCAGTTAAATATTCCAAAATGGCTGCACTATAAACAGCAGCTGTAGCACCAACACGTCCATGTGATGTGGTACGATTTTTTAGATGACGATGTATACGACCAACGGGAAACTATTAACGGAAATTATTGTAAAAACAAATTTCCAGAAAAAAACAGAACAAACTTACTTGAAGACCAGCACGAGCCGAACGTGAAACGGCTTTAGCTTTTGCTTTACCCGAATCTTTACCAGCTTTACCTCCAGCCTTAATAAAATAAAACAAAATTTAATTAAATTGAAATTTACAAAAAAATCATTAAATAATTACCATTTTTTTACGAGAATAATCGAGAAAATTATTTATAAAAAATTTAGAAAAATTATTTTAGAAAGATAAACCCGTAAGAAGTAGGCAGACAATAAATAAAATAAAAAAACCAACGATCAACGAAAAGAAAATGGCTATGGCCCAAACAAAACGAGTAAAATATAGAGAGAGAGAGGGAGAGAGAAAGAACGTTTTTTTTTTATTGATAGTAGTAGTGGTCTATATTTTAGTTGAACAAATGTATACTGGTATCAGGTAACCCAAAAATTATCGTCATTGTCATAGTGGCATTGATAACAAGTAAAAAAAATGAAAAAAGCGCGCGCCAAAATGAAAAAAAAATTGCGCGAACGCTGTCCCATCACATTTACTGAGAATAATGTTTTCCCACCAAAAAAAAAAAAAAAAAAAAATGTACAGGAAATGTACGCGTTTTTATCATTTGATTCAGTTTTTATCATTTTATCGACAAAAACCAATTGATTTTTTACACAAAACAAAATTACAATTTCGAAAATTGGCTTGAAAAAAAACGATTTCAGAACCTGAAAAAAAATCGAAGATAATTTTGAAAAACAAAAATTTTTTGGAGAAAAAAAATCACTGAATAACGGCAGATTTACTGTAGATAAGACGGTTGCAATATATTGTGCAGGCAATCAAGCAATGCGATGACCGACCGGCAAAAAAAAATGAGAGTTTTTTTTTTGGAGGCAAAGCACTCGCGTAGCAAGCACACATGTGTTAACAAACTTCAATCTTTTTTTTTTTCTTTTCTCTTGGTCGCGCCAAAACAACCAGATTCAGACGCGGGGAAAAAAGCGCGCTGTACTTTTTTTTTAATTTGGCGCGATTTGCATAGTTTTTTTTTTGAATACGCATGCGTTTCGATTACCGTTCGTAAAAATTGTTACGCAAAAAATTTAAATTTTTTTCTCTTATTTTATGTGTAAAAAATAACCATTCAAGATAAGGAATATTGGATGAAAAAATAAAAAAAAATTTCACAATTTTTTTTGGGGGAAAAACAACAGAATTTTCACAGCAATTTTTTTTCTTGGGGGAGGGAAAATGGGCCAAATGGACAATCATCACTTATATAATAAGCTCTCGAAAAAAAATCAATCAATCATGATGATTATGATGATGCTGATGATAATTAAAATGTAAATATAATTTAGCATCTAAATCATTCCATGGTGATTGTAATTGATTGAAATAAAAATCATTATTTAAATGTTTAATATTTGTTGAATAAATAGCTAATAATGAATAATTTTCCCAATGAAAATGATAATCATTCATTTGAATTTTTGATCGTCTATGTTGATGTTTTGGATGAAATATTTTCAATGAATATTCAATAATAGCTTGAATAATATTGAAAACTTTATCACCGGTTGCGATTTCAATATCGATTAATGTACCTTGTGGTAAACAGGATTCCTGTTCTACATATATTTGTATTGTTCGAGTTGTTGTTGTTTTCGTTTTCGATGATGATTCGTTATTTAAAGAATTTTTCTTCTTTTTCTTCTTCGTATGATGACAATCATCAACATCGGCATTTGATTCATTATCATTATCATTAGATAAATTGAATGATGAATCAAACGATGATTCGGATGTTGAATGAATAGTTTCACTGCTATTATCCAAATATGGATCATTATTATCATGTTGTTTTCGATGTCCATAATGTTGTTTCGTAGATGATCGTCTTCGTCGTCGTCGTCGTCGGCTACAACATTTACTACAACATGATTGTTTCCATTCATGTCGTCTTCGTTGTTTATGGTGATTTTTCGATGATGATTGTAATGAATTTTTATTCAAATTTGAATATCGTTCATGAAACATTCGATTCGATCCAAGTTCCATTAATGTACGCATTTTTTTTGAACGAATTTTTCGTTTTGGTATTTGATGTCTTATTACTCTTGTTGTTGTCAATGATAATTGTTTTGTTTCATTTTCCAGATGCTTTTTGCTGTTGTTATCCTCATCATCCTCATCATGACATTTACAATCAACAAGAATATCTTCAAAATTATCATTAAAACAATAACGGTCATCATCATCTTCATTATCAGCTGGCTTTTTAGAATCGGATATCCAAATTTGTTCATTTGGTGATTGTTCACCTTCATTTCGATCATCAACATTACCATCATCGAAATCGTTGGTCACTGGCTCTGCAATAATAATCTTTGGTGATTCATTTTCCTTATTATTATTGACTAAAACTAATATTGGTATTTCACTAACATTTGTTGTTGTTGATGGTTGTGATGAATATGTAAATAATGTTGAACTGGAATCAATTGATTGTCGACCATCACCATCATCATTATTATCGTCAATAATTTGTCGATCATCATTTACTTTGGTTATTGTTGCTGCTGATGATGATATTGTTGATGATGGTAACCTTGATGTTGAATGACAACGTCGTACATCCATTTTATTCGATCCAATTGTTGTATTCGGTTCATCATAATCTGAACAATATTTCTCTTGATCCATATTTGTTGATGGCTGTAATGATGATGATCGATATTGTTGTTGTTGTTGTTGTTGATTATAATGGTGATTTGTTGGTGTTTTTGAATCAATATTTTCATCATCATCATCATCATCATTTGATGATGATGGTTTACCATCAATTTTAACAACAACATCCAATGTTGGATCATCATCATATGGATCATCATTATCATTATCACCACCATGGTCATCATCATCGTTATGATCATTATTATTTTGACAACCATGATAATTATGATGAAAACGTTGATGTGCTAAACTATGATAATGATTTTGTTGTCGATGTTGTTGATCAATATATGAATCATCACGACTTTTACGTCGTCCCATTATCAATGATAATGATGGTATAATTGTAGCCGCCGAAGCCGCCGCTGCTGGTGGTGATGATGGTGTTGAATTACATTCACTTTGTATATTAATTTTTGGTGTTATAAAATCCATTTTTGTATTTGCTGTTCCATTATTATCATCATTATTAGTCGATTCGGTGGTAGTTTTTGTTGATGATTGAATAAAATTATTTCGTTGTTGGTCATTGTTATTGATTCCAATATGATGATCATGATCATCATAATCATCATCCCACATTTGTTTATCAATTGAATTTAAACAATATTGTATCTGTGCTAATGTAATACCGGCATTAATTTGTCGATCACGTGCATATGAAACAACATCCATTATCCAACGCATTGATCTACAATGATCATCTAATTGTGTTTGAAATTCTAATAATTGATTTAAACGTATTTTTGATTCAGTTACTTCCGATTTTGAAAATGCTTCACGTTGTGCTTGTTGTGCAGCAATTATATCCAATTCTAATAATGCTGATAGACGCCAATATTGTCCGGTAAAACGTCTTTGATATGTATTCATATGAACTATTCAAGTGTTCGAGAAAAAAACGGGAAAAGTTATTTTGATGTTTTTCAGTCAAAAAACACTTACTTAATTCAAATATTTTCAATGGTAAAAATAATAAATCATCAAAACGTTGATTAATATCTAAATCGGATTGTGTAATGGAACAAACTTCATCCGATGGTGGTAATAATAAAATCAATGATACTTGTCCATCTAATTCAATAATTTCAACAGTATAGATACGATTTATATTTAAATGTTTATCTTCATCAATACCGATTGATTGTAGAAAATGTGCAGCAGTATGTGAAAGAATTTGTAAGAATTTTGTTAATTGTTGAAAACACATTTTCTGTCCAAATGTTAATCGTTGTGGTTTTTGAATCTGGTTGATATTCAACCGTGAAGATTGTTGATTCACAACAGATAATGTTTTTGGTTTTTCAATTCGTTCAATATTTGTTGTTGTTGTTATACAGCCACCATCATCTTTTTCCAATGTTTGTTGTTGATCAGATGATGATAATTTAACAATTTGTTGTTGCTGTTGTTCATGTTGACATGCTAATTGAAAAAAATTATCAACAAAACCCGGTCCTGTTTGTGTCATTGGTGATGATAATGGTGTTGGTATTGTTGTAATTTGATTCATTAAATCCGATGATGATAATGATGTTTTATGATTATTGATTGATGATGATGTTGATAGAAAATTCGGTGAACAAGATGATGAATGATGAGTTTTTGATTCTCTTGATTTTTGATTTCTTGAATTAGTTTCCGATTGTTGATGATGAGTATTATTAACCAATTGTAAATGTAATTGACTAACACTTGTCACCAATCGACGCCATGTTTGTTTATCATCATCATCATCATCATTATCATCGATATTTTGACCATCATGATTATCATTTAGATCATTTTGTTGTTGTTGCTGATGATGATGATGATGATTTGATTTTGGTTTCAAACACATTTTCAATGCAGCCCATTCTTGCCGTGATACATGTGGATTATTACGTATTTTTGCAATTGGTAATATATTTGGTTGATTACTATTAACCATAACCGACATCATATCGATTGATGATTTTAATTTTACATATGCAATATATAAACCTTTTTCTAATTTACAATTACAAGCCTGATGATATTGCATCATTTCCTTGATTATTTTATAAATGGGAAAATATCATTAATTTGAAAGAAAATACATTAAAAAAAATCCATATACATACATCAATTGTAGCGAATAAAATATCGCTAACAAGACGTGGTAGTGGTGGTGGTGGTGGTGAACCAATATCCGTTACTGAAATACCTGAATCAGAAACACGTTCCGATTGAATTGTTGTTGATGATGTTTGTGTAGCAATTCTTTTCTGTAATTTTGCTAATGGTAACCACCGAACGGATAAACAACTAATCATTTTTGGTTCAGGTACTGAACGTATTGCACATAATACACAACTACCTTCATTATCACGTAATGGTTTATAATAAATTTTTCCTAAATCAATAATACCTAATGAATTTTGCATTTGTTCAATTGCTAAAAGAATTTTTGTACGAAATTGTGCAACAGTTGATGATTGTTGTGATTTTTCTAATTCTTTTCGAAACATTTTTATATCATTCCATGTACAGCAGGTTATTTTTAATAGCCAATAAAAATCATTTTGTAATGTTGATGGATATGAATCATCTGTGAATGAATGAAAAACATGGAAAAATCAAAAATCAATCAAAAACATTGAAAATTTTTTGCTTACCAATTTCAATAATAGGTAGTACTTCTTCATTGGTAACCAAAACACGTTTATCAGTACCATTATAGATTAATGATGCCAGATATATTGCACCACGTTTCATTGTTTTTTGAAATTTACTTGTTGAAACGAAAAAATTTCGAATACTTTTACGGACTTTTTTCTGCGAACCAGATGTTACTAATCCAGTAGTAGTAGTTAGATTACCGCTACCGGTTATTGTTGAATTATTATTAATCATTGCGGTGGCAGTAGTATTTGTGGCCATCAATATATTTCCGCTACCAATTTGACCAGAATTTGCAGATATTCCACCCATATTATTGTTATTATTATTCAATGTTGTTAACGATGTTTGTTCCAATTCGATTGATTTTCCTTCGAAAAAAATTAAAATCAAAAATCAAAAATCCCGATTTAATTTATCAAAAAATCATCTGATTTGATTTTCTTATTTTGTAACCATACTTTTATCCGCACAATCACGTTGTTGTGTTGTTTGTTGTTGTTGTTGTTGTCTCCATTCAATAATCTGATCAAATAATTGATCAATTTTTGGTACACGATCTTCAATTTTTGAATGTTTTTTATCAATCGATCTCCATGCTTTATTCAAATAAAAAATTAACTAATTAATCAGGAATCATTTCCAGAACAAAAAAAAAACTTACTTGATGGTACTGATTGATTCATTAATGGATAACAATATTCAGAATATCCTTTACAATTACCAGATGCAATTCGTACCTGATAACATTGTTCAGATTCTAAACGTTCGATTAGAAATTCATGTTTTGCACACATATTTGTCATTTCAACACAACCGATTATTGTTTCAAATTGATTTGAACTCCATTCAACTAAATGTTTTTTTTTCGATCATATTGACAAGAAAAAAAAAGAGAAAAAAGATACAAGAAAATCCAATCAATCAATCAGTCAATAAAACATTTCGAAAACCGCAAAAAACAAACAAACATACTTTTATATTTGGTTATAATTTGACGACGATAATCATGTTGTAACCTGATCGGTGGATAATAATTTACTAGTAAACATTCAGCACCGGCTACCTGTACATGTACCGATAATGGTGGTGGTGGTGGTTCTATAATAATTTAAAAAAAAAAACATTTTTCAAATAAAAATTTAAAAAAAAATTGAAAAAAATTTTCGCCATAAAAAAATGTCTATTTTCCTTCTTCCAATTACATTTTGGGTGTAAATAGAATCGAATGTTTTGGTTTTTATTGAGTAAAGGAAAAGGATGATGATGTTGATGATGAGTAAATTCGAATGCGAAGAAAAAAATCGGTTACCAAAGTGGTTTTCATCATCATCATCATCATCATCGAATAACCGAATTTTCGGTTAATATTTTTCGGTTATTTTTCTCGGTTTTTTCTTGAGAAAAAAATGAAGAAGGTAATACTTATTAATTTTTAATATCCGAAACAAAATATTAAAAATATGTTTTTTTTTCCTCCATACCGATTTCACTTTCTTCTTCAACATACAAGGCTAATAATAATTTTTACATGTTTTTCGTGTTTTTTTTTGTATATGTGTCTGTCTATGACAGAAATTGAAATATCCATTTCTTTCATTCAAGAAACGAAGAAAACATTAAAAATGTCTTGATAATGATGACTTAATGACATGATATATGTTTGAGTAAATTATTGTTGTAGTATATTTAGAATTTAGTAATTGAATTATACTTAGATTAATATAAATATGTGAACACTTGAGTTAAATAAAGTTAAGCGTAATTCGTATCAAATTTTACTCTGTCCAATAGGTTATGGGCCCCAGCTTTTTATACGTTTCTGCTGGTTATTTGTAATTGTTATTAAATTGTTTTGTTTTTGGTTATTGATACGTANGATATATGTTTGAGTAAATTATTGTTGTAGTATATTTAGAATTTAGTAATTGAATTATACTTAGATTAATATAAATATGTGAACACTTGAGTTAAATAAAGCTAAGCGTAATTCGTATCAAATTTTACTCTGTCTAATAGGTTATGGGCCCCAGCTTTTAATACGTTTCTGCTGGTTATTTGTAATTGTTATTAAATTGTTTTGTTTTTGGTTATTGATACGTATTACTTGTTATTATTGTTTTATCGTTGTTAATATTGTTTTACCGTTGTTAATATTGTTTTACTGTCGTTATTATTGTTTTGATTTCCTTGATATTAATTTCATCTCTCTTTTTTTTCTTTCGTCTTTTAGAAGTCGATACTGAGAAGAATATTATTCGGAAAGCTTCATAATCCTTCTTATGTTGTTTGTTCGTTTGGTTTTTTTTTGGTTTTGTTGGCAAATTTCCGGCAAATTTATTCGCCCAACCAACCATGTAGTCAATTTTCGGTATGATGAAAATTAGATAATGATGTTTTCTTGTTTATAATTCAATTTCTCACTTCAGAAAATATGCTTATTTCTTTTTCTCGGTAATAATTATTAATTTTTTTCTTCTTTCCATCAGGTATAATCGAATTATTGAATAATAATCGAATCAACATAAGAAAGAAAATCGAAAATCGATTTATTCGTCCATCACTTTTGAATCATCCGGTCTCGAATCAAACAAAACAAAAAATAAAAAATCGATTGATTAGGAAATTATTATTCGTTTTCGTTTTCATTTGTTGTCATCTTGAGGTATGTTTATGCAAAATTATAAACATCATCATCATCAAAAAAACAACATTGTCGACAATATCCGTCCAAAATAATTCGAACGTCAAAACTTTTCACCAAAAAAAAAGATGAATATAATAATAATGTTTGTTTATTTTGTGATTCTCAAAAAACCCAAAGTCAAGTCAACCAACCGAACAACCAAACAAACAACAACAACAACAAAAAGATTGTGTGTTATTTTCACCCATTCTCTCTCTCTCTCTCTTTACCCATATATTTCATTTATTGGATTCTGTTGAAGAATATTTTCTACAGAATCTGTTATTATTGTTGTTGTTGTTGTTGCATCTGTATCTATTCTGGATTGTTTGTCATCAACATCATCATAATAACCATTATTATCATCATCATGAATGGCAAAAGAAAAAAAAATGGTTTGTTTGTTTATTTGTTTGATATTGTGAAAAAAAAAATAATAAACTAACTAACCAACCCAGTGTTTAGATGATGATGGACTTTTGGTTTGGTGTTTGGTATATGTGTGTGTTCAACAATATCATATGATCATCACATCATTCAACGAAAGAAAAGAAAAATATTAATAATAGATTTCTAACCAACAACAGAATTCAGTTAGAATGTCGCATCTTCAAACAAAAAAAAAAAAAGAATTTTTTGATACAAAAATACTGTCTCTCTGCCTATTTGTCTATCTGTTTTCATAAGTGTGGGTGGACGGATGGATGTTTATATATTTGAAAGTTTTTGTTTTTGTTTTTAGTTTTTTTTTTGAGACTTTTTTTTTACCAAAGAGTAGTTTTTAAACTTGGGTTTTTTGTTTAGTTTTTTATTTGCCATCACCAGTGTTTATCAACATATAACATTTAAAAAAATTATATAATCATCCATTCTTGAATAAATAAATTATGACATTAAAGAGAGAGAGAGAGGAAGTGAGAGAGAGAGAGAGAGAGAGAGAGAAGAACAATCAAGATGTTTATGAAAATATATAAAAAAGAGAGAGAATTCTATTATCATCATCATTATCATTTACATAAGATAAACATCATTGTGTGTGTGTTGACATTTGAATATTTTTGTTTTGAAAATGACATTATCAATATGTCAGTTTTTAGTGTTGATGATGATGATGTTTTGTTTGGTCAGTTTGATTTGTGAAAAATATTAAAAATAAGAAAAAAAACAGACTTACGTAATAGATCGAATCCTTTTTTAAGTCTTTGTAATAATTTTAAACGTCTTTGCCAAAACATAATTTGTCTTTCTTTTTCTTTAATTAATGCTGAACTTACATTACCTGTTATCGATGTTGTTGTTGTTGTTGTTGTTGATGATGATAATGATAATGGTTGTAATATTGATAATTGACCACTATTGATTGGTTGAATTGATTTACGATGATAGTTTTGTTGTTGTTGTTGATGTTGTTGAGAATGATGATGATGAGCATTTAAATCATATAAACAACGTTCAGCTTCTGATATTAATGATTGTAAATGTAATTCACGACTATGTCGATTATTAACTAGAAATTTAAAAAAAATTAATTTTTTTATTAAAATTTTTTTAAAAAACATACATAGATCACCTTCACGTGCACCACATGATTGAAGATATTTAATTAATGATAAATTTAATAACATTGTTGCTATATCTAATGGTGTAAAACCATCCGAATTTGTACTATATAAATGTGTTTGTGTGTTTGTAATGAATCAAATTATAATTAATAAAAATATAATTATCTCTTTAATTATAATAATAATTTACCAATTAACATCAACATTAGTTGTTTCAATAATCATTCGGGTACGATCAAAATGTTCATTTTCAACCGCTGAAAATAATGCTGTTTTTTTTTTTTTTTTTTTTTTTAAAATTTTTAAAAAAAAAATTAAAAAAAAAAATCATCAT